ACACTGAGATTTTCTGCATTTGCATGTTACTTAATATTTAATAAAAATACACTCAACAAATAAATTTACAGCAGGTTCACCATTTGAGTACCTTTATTAGCATGAAAGTGTCATATCTTTGATTCATCAAAGTAACCTCCTCTAGCAGTTATAATAGCAGAGAAAATTCAAGGCATTATTTTTTTACAAGGGACATTAAATACTACTGTTTTGTGGGATGAAACAGTTAACTAGTGTAATTAAAGTTAAAGGACGGCCTAGAATTTGACTCTGCCATCACCACATAACCAGGTAATAGTATGTCAGACATGCACTGTTACATACTCTTTCCATGTTAATGAAGGAAGCTTGTTTAATTTCACTCATTTTCATTTATGGTTGATCATTCAACTTTGCAGTGCTTAAGAAAAGTTAAAAATCTGCAGTTTATGAAATAAATGGAAAAATGGTAAAAACCTGTGATGTGCAAAATCTTTTGACTGGTAGTGTAGCTACGGCTTATGTTTATCTGAATGCTTCCTGCACTTGGGCGTGTCTCCCTGTGACCCTGNTTAAAAATCTGCAGTTTATGAAATAAATGGAAAAATGGTAAAAACCTGTGATGTGCAAAATCTTTTGACTGGTAGTGTAGCTACGGCTTATGTTTATCTGAATGCTTCCTGCACTTGGGCGTGTCTCCCTGTGACCCTGTGTTTGTTTAGCTGCTGCACACCTCTGTCTTGACTGTTGTATCCAGAATGCTAACAGTGATGCAGCTGAGTCCTTCTACTGGAAGCCAGTGGTCCACAGCGCTGTCACTGTCATTGTGGCTGATGTTAAAAGGGGGGAGGCTATGTCCTGCTACAGAAGCGGTTCACAGGAACTAAATGGAACCTTCTTTTTAAATGCCACTGTCAGTATCGCTGTGACCGATGCTAACAGTGGTGTAGCTATGGTCTGCTACAGGAAGTGGTTCACAGGAAAAAGCAAAACCTTCATAACACGTTCACACGTTCGTCTACCTCCAGTGAAAAAAAACATCAGAGGAGTACTGTATGTGTCGAGTCAGAGGTTGCACATTGTCTGTGTACCAGCCAGTGTGAGTGTGTGTGTGGGTTTGCATAGATCACATTTGGGGACCAAAATGTCCCCAAAGTGAGGTAAAACCTGAAATTTCCCTACTTTTGGGGACACTTGTAAAGGTCCCCATTTGGATAACCTCAGTTTTATAAAAATTTATGAATGCAATCAAAAACGTAAAAGTGCCAGAAGTCTTGTATTTGGGTTGGTTACTTATGGTTAAGGTTAGGGATGGGTAGAGGTTAAGGGTGTTGTGATTGGGATTAGGGTTTATCCTATAGAAATGAATGGGCGGTCCCTATTTAGATAGGTAGACCAACTGTGTGTGTGTGTGTGTGTTTGTGTGTGTGTGTGTGTGTACCAGTTAGTGTGTGCCAGCCTTTCAGTTTGTTCTGTCTGCCTGCTTTATAGATGCATCCGCCTCTACAAGACTGCATGTGTACACTGACAATACTGAATATGCAGAAGTAATTCACAGTAACCAGAACCACTCACAGGTCAGTACATGGCTTTTTTCCAAAGCAAATAGACAGGCCTTCTTAAAAGCAAACACACATACACAAACAGACAGGCAGACCTTAAAAGCAAACACACACACACATTGTCTGAGCACTCAGCAGAGAAACATCCGCCTTTGTGGTCTGCCTGGGTCATCCTGCAGCGCTCGGCTGCTATTTCGGTGCAGACTGGTGTGTTTCTCTGGTGATGCTAAGGAAGCATGGCTTTGGCTGGGAAGCTGCCGCTCGCTCACAGCCTCCCCTATCAGGAAGCTCAGTATCGCCATGTGGACGTGTCCCAAAAACGGGTCGTTAATGAACTGAGAGAGCAGCTTCCTCACACACAGAGCAAACAGCCTGGATGCTTCCTGAAAGCGAGGACTGCAGTTGGCGATAAGGGCACAGCTGTCATCACGGAGACAAAGGCCGCTGTCATCTTCCACGCCTGGGGTTTCCCTGTAATTTCATTGGGTGACTGGTGATGTTAGCAGAAATAATGCATCTTCCTTTCTTTCTCTTCCTTCCTGTCCTCTCTCTGTTCTCTCTCTCTGCCTCTGTCCTCCTCCCAGCGACAGCCTGTATCAGAACTGGGTCCCGGTTCCACACCGGTGAAGCTCACCACCGTGTACGAGGAGCTCCGGCACACTTCATGAAGGACGGGGGGGCCGCAGAGGAGGCGCTGTGGGCAGAGGGAGGCACCTAAAGTGGGCAGGGGCAGCGGGCAAGAGAATGATCAGAGCACCTACCAATACCATGCATATACCAGGAAGTGTCGGGCCTTATTTGTGGGTGACAAAATAAACAGGCTGGCTTACTTGTTCCTACCGGTTGTAACACCCATCTGTGACAGTGTTTATCTCATGTTTTGGGCACTTCTGCTCTGTGTTGAATGTAGGAAAAGATTAGCTCACTGTATGGAAATCAGTAACCTGTGACATTCAAATCTTGTATCAAGCTAGCAGCTTCCTATAAAAGCCCTCCTATGTTCCGAGTTTTGTCCTTTCAGAGAATGTATTTGCATAAATTGCGCCATCTTGTGGTGACAAAGAAGAACCTTAAAGTTTTGCATTTATTTTTTTATTTAGCACATGGTTTTCTCCAAGTTAAGTTTTATTTCAGCTCAGTAGCTCCGCAGATTGTCTGTGGCTATCCCATCATGCACAGGGACACGCAATCTTCAGACTCTGGGACCCAGGCCCAATCCCAAAAGTCCAGGTACCTGAACACTCTGCCTCACCCCTCCGCCTTCGTGCATTCCTGAGACTAGTCGCCATATTGAAGTGTGTCTCAAAGCAGCAAGGGCTAAGGGGAAGTGGTCCATTATGCCCTTATGAAGCAAGTCAGCAGCAATGAAAGCCCACAGAAGTGCACTGCTATTTAAATATCCCACAATGCTTTCACTTCACAACAGAACAGTGTGAAAAAAATTTGAGGATGATGTATTGCCATATAAATGTTAGAACACAATTATGTATTTTTTAAAAAGTATTAAATTAAATTAATACTACTGAATGTTTAAACACGCATATGTTATGAAGACTACGTTTTGGAAGAAGTTAATTTTCATGAGATGAATAGGCATGACAATAATGTAATT